TGGTAGTGCTCTTATGCATATATGTGGAAGTGATGATATAGCTTGTATGTTTGTCTGTTGGTGTGTGATATAGCTATTATGCTTATCTATAATGAAATGGGAAAGTGCTTAATGTGAGTATTGTCTCATATGAGTTGTTTGGCCAGGTTCTGAGCTAGGGTTATAAACTGAGAATTTGAAAAGAATTGGAAAATGGATTGTAACATGGGCTTGTATGTCATGAAATTGTAAAATGTGATAAGGGAAAGTATCAGTGTTAGCCATCTATCAACTGCTAATCTTTTAGTCATTGTTCATATTTGGTTTAGTATATTTCTACTGGGCTGTGGCTCACCCTATATGGGAACAGCATTTTCAGGTACAGGTAGCATGCCACCTCCAAGGACATAGCTTGGGAGGCAAGAGGCGGACACATTTTTGTTGTTTTATTTCTTGATGTATTACATGTATATTCAAGCCAAGGGCTTAATGTGTAAATGAGTTAACACTCTTTTGTTGTAACCAAGTGTTAACTTGGAAAGCTGTAAGCCTTTAGGACATTTGCTTTTATTGTTAACATGTAATACTTTTGATAATGAATCTCTGGTGAATAGAAGAAAGTGGAGCTTTTATATATCAATGCATGTCTCTATTGATGGGTTTAATGTTATTATTTTGAGGGCGTGACATTGGCAATGTTACTTACCACGAAGGTACAAGTCTATTCCTAATAAGATTATGCGCTATGCCCTCGTAAAGCACCATGCTAAATACATACTACACCTAGTATTACTCGCACACTTCACATCCCCTCGAGGAGTCCTCACGACAGTAGATCAACATTACTTTCACGCACATAAGGTCAATTATATAACACTAAGGAAATTTCGATCACCCAGTAAGTATAATTGTTCTCGCCTCCTTGTAATCCTGATTAAGATAAACATCTCTCAGTAATCCTTTCAAATTTGAAAACATGACTCATTTTTTTTTTTCAAACCAAAACGCACGCATATAAATGCATTATTACCAAAGATTTTATGGTCTCACCACAACCTATTATATTAGTAAAACTTTTAGAGCCACCACAAGCTCTAACTTGCCCATTTCAAGAAAATAGATAAGCACTAGCACACATAACTATGTAAACATATATATAGAAACAACCAACCTTGATGTTCCAACATTTCCAAAACACATTGATTACACAACAGATCCCAATGATTTCAAAACGATAATTCACCGATTACAAAATGGATTAGTCAAAACAAAACTATCCTATCAGTATTACCACCACTGCTGTCCCTCACTAGACCGCCAAAGTTGGTCATCTCCAAACACAGGATAACCTACGAGCTTACAAGCTACGGACACGAACTACTGGCGTGCCCCATCTGGCCACACCTGGAACAACCACTAATTTCCCCAACTGGGATTTGGGAACTCGACTCACCTGAGGCCCTCGAAATTTGGCCTAACTGTCCCCCAAAACGGTATTGCTCCTGCCGCCCAGTCGAATAAGGCTGGACCTGACTAGGTTGCAAGACTCCCAAAGAAGCTCCTTGCTGAGTACAGAAACGTCTGATATGCCCTGGTTGATTACACACCCAACATGTAAACAGCTCCCAAGCATGAGACTGATTCAAAGTCTGAGTTGATGGGGGCCCCAACAACTGCCTCCTCACTGAGCTTCCAGTCGATCCAAAACCTGGCTGGTTAGGTAATGCTGGTGGCACAACTACTGGTTGAACTACTAAACCTGCCCTCTTCCTCTATGGGCAAACCGAAGACTTGTGGCCCAGCAGACCACACCTGAAACAAGTAACACTCCTCTGTTTACTTCCTCTCGAACCCAAATCCGACATTGGAAAGGTAGCTCTAGATCGACCTCCATGTTGCGGGTTTAGAACCCTCTGCTTCTTAAAAGGCCTACCAACACCCTGAGTTACAAGAGTCGCCGAGATGACTTCCTCCCCACTCTGCCCCATAGCTAGCACCGCTGCCTCAATATGAGCTGCAGCCCCAACAAGCGCACTATAGCTCCTACGCCAAGCCCCCGCAATCTTTCCTCGGATGCCGTCACACAGCCTACTCTCAAACTCCGCACAACGCAATTCCTCCGTTTCCACCAACTCTGGGGCAAACCTCGACAAGTTAGCAAACCATGCCTCAAACTGCACCAAAGGAGTAGTACCTTGGCGCAACTCCACAAATTGTTTCTGCAACTCTTCCCGTGTGGAAGGAGGGAAATCAAAATTTCCTCGCCTAGGCATCCTAGAAAAAGTAGCAAAGGTATTAGCACAACGACAGCGGTGCCAAAATTATTTCACTAGCGTCCTAACACGATGGACAGCTGTAATTCATTCCACGTAAGCACATAAACACACAAATACTTACGAATTTCATTTATGGATAATGATAGTCCCGAGGCGTTACTAGAGTTCCGGTTAGAAACAGCATTGATCAAGTGCTTTTCCAACAAGACTCACAGAAACCCAAGGGTCTAATCAACATCCTAGAAATTAAATCACATACCCAAGTAGTCACATAAACATGTTATCACATAAGCACATAACATTACATCTAAGTCTCTAATCAAGCGAGACAAACCCATTGTGATACCAATCACTTCCAACGTACCCGAAGTATTCGAACCCAGTACGCTCTGATACCAAGTTGTAACTCCCTCAAAAAGAACCACAAACCTACCGATATTGAAATGTATTGAAATACAAAAGACCAACATTCTTCTATTCATCAAAGTAGTTCTTACAACAGTATTACATGTTATTAACAAAGCAAATGCCCTACGGGCCCACAGCTTTCCAAGTTAACACTTGGTTACAAGAAAATAGAGTGCTAACTCAAATGCATATTAAGCCCTTGGCCTGAATTACATGTAATACATCAAGAAAATAGACAACAAAAATGTATGTCCGCCTCTAGCCTTCCAAGCAATATCCTTGGAGGTGGCATGCTACCTGTACCTGAAATGATGTTCCCATATAGGGTGAGCCACAGCCCAGTAGAAATACACTAAACCAATTATAAACAATGAATAAAATAATAGCATTCAACAGATGGTCCACACTTATATTCCCACTTATACCGTGTTACAATTTCATGACAATCATGTCCAAGTTACATTTCACTTTCTGTTTCTTATCCAATTCTCAATTCATACCATAGTTCAGAACCCAGCGAAACAACTTATATGAGACAATAACTCATCTTTAACATTTTTTTTCATTTCTAGCTATATCAATACTTCAACAGATAGACACATAAGCTGCATCCACACTTCAAAGGATAAGCATATGAGCTATATCAACACTTCAAAAGATAAGCATATGAGCTATACCAACACTTCAAAAGATAAGCATATGAGCTGTATCGACACTTCAAAAGATAAGCATATGAGCTATATCAACACTTCAAAAGATAAGCATATGAGCTATACAACACTTCAACCGATAAGCATATGAGCTGTATCAACACTTCAACCGATAAGCATATGAGCTGTATCAACACTTCAACCGATAAGCATATGAGCTGTATCAACATTCCAACAACCGGTTTAGAGGTACATCCCCCATCTTCCCCTAAACCGTGGAGTACATCCCCCATCTCCTCCCATACACAAGTAATGCATATAAACACAGAATCACATATGCAATCAATCAATACATAAAATTAATGTATTCTATCAACCGTCTACACATAATGCATATAAACACATTGGTCACATGCACAATCCACAGATACATAAAGTTAATGTATTCTATCAACCGTCATACTCTATGACACATCCAATTGATTAGTTTTAGTTTGCCTAATCATCATGCATTGTCTACAACAATCAAGACTATCCTCCACCGATAGCCCAAAGCAGTTATTTCTAAACAGAAAATAAATGCACAAATGGATATTTAATCAACATTTCAATTTGGTGAGCGATAAATGATCCAACTACACCCTCTAATTCCTTCTTTTTTCCAATTCCCACAATCTCAATTCAATCCTTCATTTTCAACAATTAATTATACAAATTAATCAATCGATGTAATTAGGGCATTTTCCACAACTTACATTTTAACCCCCCATGGTTTCATTTTCATCAATGTTTCAACATTAATTCCATTTCACCATGCCAAACATGCATATAGGTTTTATTTATTTAAAACCCCAACTTTTGTAAAATTACACAAAGGCCCAAACTTTCTCAAAATTTCCCAACAGCCCCCAACGTATCAAAACACTAAGATTTAACGACAAAGCTCATAAAGAGGAGTAGGATATCCCTACCTCGAATGATGAAACCCAGAGAAGGAGATGAAGAAAATGAAAATGCTCCAAATCCCGAAATTTTCAGATTAAAAGATGGCCCTCGATGATCAACATAACTTTTGTAAAGGTTGGAGGTGAGAAAACAACTCCTACTAGATCAATCCTAAGAGAGAAGTTAGGGTTTTAGTGAGAGGAACTCTCAAAATAGCTTTCTGGAAAAGTAAGAGAGAGAAAGGATGTTGAAAAAGTGAACAAAAAGTCGTATCTTGGCTTTATATAAAAGTCGCCCCACTCGAGCGTGGAAACCCCCGCTCGAGCGTCACTCACAGACTCCCGCTCGAGCGTCTAAACTCCCGCTCGAGCAGTGGATGCACACTCCCAGAACTTTTACAGACATGGTCCCCGCTCGAGCGTCAGACACGAACTCCCGCTCGAGCGGCCAATCCCCTGCTCGAGCGTCTACCACTGCAGACGAAATACTGGATGGGTGATTTCCCCGCTTGAGCGCCAACACCCCCACTCGAGCGGATAAGCAACAACAAACGCCCGCTCGAGCGTCAAAAGCGCCGCTTGAGCGAAGAGATCAAAAATTGGGGAGAGATTTTACGTTTTAAAACACAACCAACTTATTCCCAACTTGCCTAACACAACCCAAAACTCGAACACAAAGAGTAAGGGATAGAAAGAGGATAAGACAACAGCACCCTTATGGAACCGAGTCCGGATTACAGTTAAACACAAAAAAGGAAAACCGGGATCGCTATACATTTATTAGGGAAATTCTATTTTCACACACTACATTATCTCTGTGTACATCCTTTCTCACTCCACACACTTAGCAATTTGATTTTTAGGTATTTATCTCAATCCACACACCCCACATTCCAAATATACCCATTTAATAAAAAAATGTGCACACTCTCATCAGATTATATTAGACAAAATTCATAGAAAACTCCAAGGCTCTGATAAGCCAAAATCAATACTGTCCTCCAAGATTCTTTCTGCAACACCAAAAAAAAAAACAAAAAAAACAAAAACAATTTGATTAAAAAACACATATGGGTTTGTTCCAAAACACAGATTAAAAGTAAACACATTTCTCAGAAAACACAAATTAAAGGATTACACATCTCACCTTAACACGATTCTGATAAAACCCAATTTCTAGATCCATGAAGGGTCTCCTCAAAACCTCATGGAAACCAAATTTAACCCCAAATTAGGAAAGATTCAAAGATGACCCATAACAGAAAACACCTTCCCAGCAAACAACTTCAATGAAATTATGTAGTAGACACCAACAAATGATACACACAAACTAAAAAAAAAACAGAAACATATAGTTTAATAAATACAGATTATGTGGACTCTTGTGGAGTTAGCAATTGAACCACCATCAATGAAGAAAAAACACGAAAAGCCATAAAACGAGTGTGTGCACACCCTCATCAAATTATGTGGGTGAGATGTGTATGGAGAAATTGTGAAATGTGTAGGTGACATGGTGGTGGGTGAGATGGTAATTTTATTAAAGGATAAAATTGTGATTCTGAAAAAAATTCATTAAGTGTGTAGAGTAAGGAAAGTTGATGTGTGAAAATAGAATTTCCCCATTTATTACTTTTCTCAATTTTTATAATAGGGGGGTAATATATAAATTCCTAACAAATGCACTTCTTAACAAAAAGAGAAAAAAATAAATATATTACCTGAAACAAAGTTTTGGAACTTGCATTGCTTCTTACAGGAAACATGCTATTTTTCTTTATGGAACTCCCTTGTTTTTCAACTGAAAAGATAGGGTAAGGTGGTTCAATCTCGTAGAAAAATTCTCAAAGCATAACTTTCAATATTTTGAAGCCACGTTAATATATGATGGAGAGAGGGAACGATAGCAAAAGAAAGTAGGACAAGAGGATAAAGAAGACTGAATGGGAAAAAGTATATTCCATGCCAAAAATGTTAGGTTGAGATGATAAGGTAAAAGCCCTAGATTAAAAAAAAAATCATGTTAGACTTCTTTTTGTGCACATATGGTGAATCGGGAGACATTTATTGGATCTGTAGAAATGTCTTGCACCATTACGGTGAATATGTAATTCCATAGTATTTTATATTTTTGTTTTATTTATATATTATTTTTATTATTTATGTAGCTTGTTAAATTCTTTTAATAGGTTTTTTGGAATAATTCTTTTAATAGGTTGAACCAGGTGAAAAGGAGGCAGATCAGGTAGCTATTGAGGATTTTCTGCGTTTAGTCCCAAAAACTATACCCTGACTACACCGTACATATTCTTTTAATAGGTATAATTTCCGAGAATAAACACAAAAAATCCTCCATAGCTACTTGATCGACCTTCTTTTCACCTGGCTCAACCAAGTAAAATATTATTCTAAAAAAACCTATTAAAAGAATTTAACATGCTACATAAATAATAAAAAATAATATATAAATAAAAACAAAAATATAAAATACTATGACTTTACATATTCACCGTAATGGTGCAAGGCATTTCTACAGATCCAATAAATGCCTCCCGATTCACCAAAACTCCGACATTCCCATCTGCACAAAAAGAAATTTAACATGAACTTTTTTATCTAGGACTTTTACCTTATCATCTCAACCTAACCTTTCAGGCATAGAATATACTTTTTCTCATTCAAGCTTCCTTCTCCTCTTTTGCCCTACTTTCTTTTGCTATACTTCCCTCCTTGCATCATATATTAACGTGGCTTCAAAATATTGAAAGTTTTACTTTGAGAATTTTTCTATGAGATTGAACCACTTTACCCTATGTTTCCAGTTGAAAAACAAGGGAACCCAATAAAGAAAAATAGCCGATTTCCTGTAAAAAAAATTATAATTATATTAATAAAAAATAAAAAATCACTAAACAAATGAAAGTAAAGTATAATAGATAATATTATATTCTGACCTCATTAAATTAGCATTGTTCGCGTGTTGCTTAAATTGGTTGTATAGCGTAAAGAAATGGTCGAGTGCCAGAGGGTATTGAAGGAACTTTTCATGACCGCGACTTCCCATGCCTGCACCATGAACATCCAATTAAAAGAAAAGAACAAAATGAAGGCCCATTGCTAGTGTCCTCTTGTGCAGTCAACAAAATGTAATTTTAATTTCCAATATATACAAATATATATTTGTCAAGTATATTATGAAAAAGTAAGTACCATAATCATTATTTTTCAAGAATCATTTAAGATTCCTCACCATTTTATTATTTCAAAACTGTTAGATCATTGAAACACAATTTCAACCATTTTTTTAGCTCATTCATCTCTTTTAAAGGTGGCGGCCACCATATAATAATTATGACAAAGGTAACAGCCGGAGCCTTGGATTTTTCTTCCTTTGGCACAACTGTGGAAAAATTTACTAGCACGTGTTTTTAATTTCATGATCACATTTAATGAGCTTTAAACTAGTTTTTGTGGGTTTTATTTAGTTTTTAAACATGATCAAATGTACGTGCTAAAATTTACACTAGTTTTACATTGACACGGAGATTATTTGTTTTATTAATGTATTTAATTTTCTATATTATATTGATTTTGTACCTATGGATACTTCTCCCATATTATGGTAAGCAATTCATGAAGCATGTTCCTTCATATAATTAGTTATAGAGTCACTAACATAATTCATCAATTCATGAAGTATGTTCTTTCATATAATTAGTTATAGAGTCACTAACGTAATTCATAACACAGTGTGCTATACTAATGGAAAATTACATAACATAATATCCAAGCTCTGTTCAACAAATCTAACCCAAAACCAAAGCAAAGAACTAAGCTCATCTAACCTTAAATCTTGTAGAAGTTGAGAATTAGAAATTGAAAACATGTAGATGTAAATTTTTTGCATCGATCGTGTGTGGAATTTGTGTGATTTTAGAAGCTAAAAAAAGAAAGAGAAAAAATGGCTTTAAATATAGAATCTGTTGAAAATACACACATAATGGCTGCAAAGTCATTATAAAGGCATTACAAAAGACCATTATATAATGGTGATGGTCCCTATTACTTGTGTGTCTTTTTGTCACACAGCTATAACAGGCTATAACAGGTGGCTGTCAATATTATGCTAAGAAGTATTTGAACAATCTCAAAAGCAAAAAACTTTAACAAGTACCCATACAAATAAAAAATGGATTTTGTTAACAAGTGTCTTTAGGACACTTGTTAAGAATGCATTAACAACTAATTTTTACTCTATTTTATAGAAAATAGTTAACCATAAATGGCAACCAAGCGGTATTTTTAAATATTTACAATTAATTTACTAATGGGACAACTATACCCTAGTTTTAACCCCAATTTTAAAGAAAGATTAATTGTGTAGTACTTTTATGAATAATTAAAATAATATTTTTTTTCATATATAAAATTAGATTTTTGAAAACAATTATAATGGATATTTTCTCTATAAAAAAAATAAATTTTGTATATTACAATTAAAAAAAAAACATTTCTAATCCATAGATGTGAATACAAAAAAAAAAAAATTCAATTATTGATTGGTAATGATTAAAATCAAATACAAAATGAAATTTTCTTAGATATTAAAATAAAATTGCTTCCCACCTTTAATAATAAAAAATAAAAATAAAAAGATTTTGTTGTTCACTTAATATTGAAAAAAATTTAACACATGATATATCACTACTTATCACTAAGCCCACCTTTTGCTACAAAATATGGCCTCTACTTACCACTAGAACTGAGGGTGAAAATTTTCGACACAAAACAATATCATGATTTGAATCGTATATGAAGTTAGCCTAGTTAGGGTTTACTGTTGTTTAATACAAATAAAAAATGACATGACCCGATAACATAAATATTAAACGGGTCAAACTTACATAACATGAAATTGATACAAATAACCTGTTTAATGATCATTAGTTGATTCAACCAAAAAAAAAAAAAAAGAGGCAAAAACGACGTCGGGGGGCTTGTTTTCGAGCGACGTAGCATTGCTCAAAATAAAAAGATTTTGTTGTTCACTTAATATTGAAAAAAATTTAACACATAATATATCACTACTTATCACTAAGCCTACCTTTTGCTACAAAATATGGCCATCTACTTACCACTATAACTGAGGGTGAAAATTTTCGACACAAAACAATATCATGATTTGAATCGTATATGAAATTAGCCCGGTTAGGGTTTACTGTTGTTTAATACAAATAAAAAATGACATGACCCGATAACATAAATATTAAACGGGTCAAACTTACATAACATGAAATTGATAAAGATACCTGTTTAATGATCATTACTTACTTTGATATTATTTTCACTAAGGGATGCTATGACACTTTGAATCTCTAATGTAACTCTATTTAACTAAATAAATACTTATGCAAAATAAGATTTAAAGGCTAAAACAATTTTTTATTTTTTCAATTACGACACTTTGATCGGTATTCTTTTTGTCTAACAATGTTCTCAAAACTAAAAACAAAATAAATGTGAAGTACGAAGATAATGAATGGGTGAGAAACGAAAGAGTTTGAAAAGGTGGCTGTAAAAAGAAAAAAGGATAAAAAAAAAAAGAAGAAAAAGAAAGGAAGTGAGGGTATTTAAGTCACAATACCAACAAAAAGTTGTGTTTTAAAAGACATTTATTACTTTTCTCCATCTTTATAATAGTGGGGTAATTAAGTTAATAAATAAGTTCTTAACAAATGCACTTATTAACAACAACACATAAAAATAAATATATTACCTGAAACAAAGCTTTGGAATTTTCATTGCTTCTTATAAGAAAGATGCTACCTTTCTTTGTTGGACTCCCTTGTTTTTCAAGTGGAAAAATAGGGTAAAGTGGTTCTATCTCGTACAACAATTCTCAAAGCAAAAATAATAATATATTTATTTTAAAGTCAATCTAACAAAAATAATAATGATATTATGGTATAGTTTTTGTACAAAAAATTAAAACAAAATAAATGTGGAATCATTATATTGATCGGGATTTTTTTTGACTAACAATGTTCTCAATGATAAAAACAAAATAAATGTGAAGTACAAAGATAATGAACGGATGAGAAGTGAGGGAGTTTGAAATGGTGGCTGTAAAAAGATTTAAAAAATAAAAAGGAAGTGAAGGTATTTAAGTCACAATATCAACAAAAGTTTTGTTTTAAAATACATTTATTACTTTTCTCAATCTTTATAATAGTAGGGTAATTAAGTTAATAAATAAATTCTTAACAAATGCACTTATTAACAAAAACACATAAAAATAAATATATTACCTGAAACAAAGCTTTGGAACTTGCATTGCTACTTACAAGAAACATGTTATTTTTCTTTACTGAGCTCCTTGTTTTTCAAGGAGAAAGATAGGGTAAAATGGTTCAATCTAGGGGTGCAACTTGGGCGGACTCAACCCGAGCAACACGAACCCAGTTCGAATTTTTTTAGGGCTTGGACAAGATATTTTCAAATTCGGTATGGGCTTGGGCAAAAATTCAGAAACCCAAATTAAATTTGGACGGGCTTGAGCAAAAATGTCAAACAACCCAAAGCCCGAATTATACATGTATAGATATATAAAAATATTAAATATACATACAAATTATTAGCCATTACATGATATTAAAGTAATTTAGATTATTAAATCATATTGAATATATATTATTATATATACAAATAACATAAAATCTTACTTTTTTTTATTTTCACTCATAAATTGTAAGGACTACTATAGCTGCATCTCTTACATTATATAAATTATTTGTTTTGATGGTATTAATGATTGTCAATAAAATAAAATAAAAAAACTGTAAGAGTCAAATTTTAATAATTTAATAATGTAGCAGCAAAAAAAAAAACTGAAATTCATTTACAATTCGGGCAACTTGGGTCGGGTTTGGGCAGACAGCCTCGGGTTACAATTCAAGCCTGGGCAGATCTCAGCGCAACTTGAGCTAGACTTGGACAACCTTCCAACCAACCCGAACCCGCCCGAGTTGCACCCCTAGTTCAATCAAGAAGAGGAAGCACATCAGTCTAAGATTTTCCTTTCTCGCTTCGGAAGGTTAAGGAAGGGAAAGCCCCCCTCGGAATTTGACCATGAGTTCACAGCTTAGGATAAGAAGGAACCCATTCCCGTCTTTCATTAAAGCAATGGTCTACGACTCCGTTGCTTGCTTATGATAGGAGAGCTCCTTTGTTATTTTTGTTCTACCGTTAAGATAAGGATCACAGGCCCTAGTCCCAAACTAAACTATTTATTCATCTGCACCGGAAAGGGATTCATGAGCGCGGCCAATGAAAAGTCCCTTCAATACCCTCCTGCACTGGGTCATTTCTATACGCTATACCGCCAATGTAAGCAACATGCGAACAATGCTAAATTAATGAGGTTAGAATATAATATTATGTATTTTACTTTATTTTCATTTGTTTAGTGATTTATTTTTTTTATTAATATAATTATAATTTTTTTTTTATAGGAAACATGCTATTTTTCTTTATTGGGCTGCCTTGTTTTTCAACGGGAAAGATAAGGTAAAACGGTTCAATCTCGTAAAAAAAAATTCAAAGCAAACTTTTAATATTTTGAAGCCACGCTAATGTATGATGGAGAAAGAGAAGGATAGCAAAAAAAAGTAAGACAAAGGAGGAGAAGGAAGCCTGAATGGGAAAAAGTATATTCCATGCCAAAAATGTTAGGTTGAGATGACAAGGTAAAAGCCCTAGATAAAAAAAATCATGTTAAGACTTCTTTTTGTGCACCATGGGGATGTCGGAGCTATGGTGAATCAAGAGGCATTTATTGGATCTGTAGAAATGCCTTACACCATTACGGTCAATATGTAATGCCATAGTATTTTATATTTTTGCCTTATTTATATATTATTTTTTATTATTTATGTAGCATGTTCAATTCTTTTAATAGGTTTTTTGGAACAATTCTTTTAATAGGTTGAACCAGGTAAAAAGGAGACGGATCAAGTAGCTATGGAGGATTTTCTGCGTTTATTCCCAAAAACTATACCCTGCATATTTGACAGGCTAATAAAAGCCTTTCATCCCACGAATTCAATTTTTCTGTGAATACAACATTAACACTCACGAAAAAATTAAATTCGTGAAATGAAAGACTTTTATTAGCCTATCAAATATACAGGGTATAATTTTCGAAAATAAAAGCAAAAAATCCTCCATAACTACTTGATCGGCCTCCTTTTCACCTGGTTCAACCTATTAAAAGAATTATTCCAAAAAAACCTATTAAAAAAATTTAGCATGCTACATAAATAATAAAAAATAATATATAAATAAAAACAAAAATACAAAATACTATGGCATTACATATTCACCGTAATGGTGGAAGGCATTTCTACAGATCCAATATATGACTCCCGATTCACCATAGTTCTGACATCCCCATGTGCACAAAAAATAAATGTGATCTTTTATCATCTCAACTTAGCATTTTAGGCATTGAATATACTTTTTTCCATTTAGGCTTCCTTCCCCTCTTTTGCCCTACTTTTTTTGGCTATACTTCTCTCCCTCCATCATATATTAACGTGGCTTCAAAATATTTAGAGTTTTGCTTTGAATTTTTTTTTACAAGATTGAACCACTTTACCTTATCTTTCCAGTTGAAAAACAAGGTAGCCCAATAAAAAAAATAGCATGTTTCCTATAAAAAAAAAATTATAATTATATTAATAAAAAATAATAAATCACTAAACAAATGAAAATAAAGTATAATACATAATATTATATTCTAACCTCATTAATTTAGCATTGTTCGGATGTTGCTTAAATTGGGTGTATAGCGTATAGAAATGGTCCAGTGCCGGAGGGTATTGAAGGGACTTTTCATTGGCTGTGCTCATGAATCCCTTTCCGATGCTGATGAATAAATAGTTTAGCTGGGGACTAGGGCTTGTGATCCTTCTCTTAACGGTAGAACAAAAGTAGAAAAGGAGCTCTCCTATCCTAAGCAAGCAGCGGAGTCGTAGACCATTGCTTTAATGAAAGACGGGGATGGGTTCCTTCTTATCCTAAGCTGTGAACTCATGGTCAAATTCCGATGGGGGCTTTCCCTTCTTTAACCTTTCGAAACGAAAAAGGAAAATCTTAGACTGATTCACTTCCACTCCTATCCTTAATCGAGTAGGGCAAACTCGCTTTCGCTTTGTGTAGATCACTTTCAAAAGAGCTTATTTGAAGGGGACAGCAAGCGGGCCTTACACGCTACTGCCTTATTCGAACAGAAGAGAAGAAGACCCCTTACTTAGTAGAGGGGATTGAAGACCTACTTCTTACATTGAAAAAACCAGGATCAACAACCCCTTCTAAGTAAAGGTTCCGTGCAAATAGTTGATTAGATTCATAGGTACACCTTGAGAGAGCCCTCTTTTTCTTTTTGGTTGAAGAATTCTCCACTGTCCTTCTAGCTACAGATCTTCTAGCTATGACTGAGCGGAAAGAAAGCTTGATCACAAATACGAATAAGCGGCCCGGTTCACTTGACCGTGAACCAGCCTATGTCCTCCCTTGTGAGCGCATTTTCCCCTATTAATTAATAAGTGAGAGGGTTAAAGGGTATCGAGTAAGGGTAGCCGCAATCTCCTCCTTTTATATAACTCTAAGCGGAGGACCTTCCCTCTTAGCTCTTAAGGAATTCTTAAACCTATCGACGTTGTTAACAAGCTAACCTAACTAATAGAATCTCTTTCCTAGGTAGCGAGAAGGAATAGGGAAGAAGCAGAGTGACTTTAATCGTGCTTGTAGCTCAAATTCTTAATCGTACCTCTATTCCTGACTTAGGCATGAGATAAGGGCCCCCTCTCCTAAAGATGTAGCCAGTTGGGAGTTATTAGCTAGGTAGTTTCTTTCCTTCGTATCCGCCTAGCTGAAGCTATAACAAAGCGCCCTATCATGTGTCTCAATTATTTAGTTCACAGAATAGTCCGCTGATGAGAAGACAGTCTGACAGAATACCTTCTTAGGGTATTGAAGGGACTTTTCATTGGCCACGACTTCCCATCCCTACACCGTAAACATCCAATTAAAATAAAAGAACAAAATGAAGGCCCCTTGCTAGTGTACTCTTGTGTAGTCAACAGAAAGTAATTTTAATTTCCTATATATATATATATATATATTTGTCAAATATATTATGAAAAAATAAGTACTATAATCATTATTTTTCAAGAATCATTTAAGCTTCCTCACCATTTTTAGATCAGAAACACAATTTCAACCATTTTTTTAGCTCATTCATCTCTTTCAACGGTGGCGGCCACTACTATAAAATCATAAATAGATCACACTTTTTTTGTGTGATGTATGTTATTTAATCACTATTTAAGTTTTGTCAAAGTGTGATCTTTGGGAGTGATTAAAAATGATCATTTTTAATCACACGTTTTAAGTGTGATTAATAACATTTAGATCACATTTTTTAAATGTGATTAATAACTAATAAAATCTGTGATAATAAATGTTTAGATCACATCTTTAAGTGTGATTAATAGCATTTAGATCACATCTTTTAAGTGTGATTAATAACTAATAAAACTTGTGATAATAAACCTTTAGTTCACAGATTTTAAGTGATTAATATCCAATAAAACCTGTGATTAATAATAAGATAAGATCATACCGTTATATGCATTTCTTATCACAATTAATGCATGCGATAAAAAAAGATTCAGCATATTTGAAAAATAATCAATATTATTTTTATATGGACATTTGAAAGATGTAATACACACTATATACTATAATTTGAATCACAACCACATATTGAATGAAATAACGTCATATATTTCATAAATGAAAGTTAAATATATTCAAAAGTACAAAGGAATTAAATAAAAACTTTTTAACTGTGCTTGCATAAATTAAAAATTGAAAAAACTTGAAAAACTAAGTTTTGAATTCTAACCATATTTTACCGCCAAGAAATTTTTGACTTGAAAAAATAAAACACAAGTTAATTTAGAAACCGTTAGAAGTATATGAATAAACTAACTATTTCTAGAGATTGTTCTAGTCTTACAAAAGATAAATAGGATCTTTTCTCATCAGACCGACTCTTTATCACAAGTAATTCCAACCTTCAAGTCACTTTCTTTGATTTATCCCAAAAATAATAATAATAAAAATAAAATAATAATAAGAGGCCAAAAAAAAAAGAGTTGAAATAACAATATAAAGAAAATCGTAATTTCAACTCTTAGGTTATCAAAAATACCAACTGAACTGGCAGCCAGTGATGTCACCAACAATACTATAATAATCCAAAGACTACAAACAGCAAAAGGCTAATGACAAGGACAGATATGCCATATACCAACCAATAGCATCAGCCAGTAGATTATGAAGCTGAAGTGCATATACAGCATAATATTTGAACTCAAACATAACTCAAAAGAATAGCAAAGATGAAAAAATTTACCGATACTAAGCATTTACATATGTGATCTAGTAAATGCACCCTTTCCAGCTTATACTAAAACACAAGTAACATTTCAAAAAAAAAAAAAATGACAAGATAAAAAACTAAAAATTGTCAAGAATTTCCTAATGTAAATCACAATAAATTTCCCTGAAATACAAATATTTACACACCCAAAAAAAAAAAAAATGTGAAAGAAATTCAAGGTTACCTCCAAGGGATCTGAGGCTATAGGAATTTCATTAGAACCTCTTCCACATCATTGGATGCAACAATACTAGGGTAAGGATGGGGAGTCTGGTCATGGTTCCTCCTCTCATTAGCACCAAAAACATCACTATTACTATCTCGGAAAAGTTGTGAAGTTGTTTCCCGAGCAAATGTTGTCACAAGAGATAATTTCTCCAATAGTTGAATTGAAATATATTGAGCAGGATCCTGAACTTAAGCCTGGCAGTTCCATCAAAAGTACCTACTTTAGTCCTCTCTTGATTTTCATATGAGGGGGGCCCACCATCTGAGATAGGTGAAGATGGCACAGTTGCAACAGCAACAGCCCTAGGCAACTCCAAAGAGGACAAAGTTCTGTCCAAGAAAACAAAACAAAACAAAACAAAACTACATAGTTCAAACAATCAAGAGAAGGCATTAAATATCATGATAAATGAATTTATTACTAACGCTCAAGGCAATGAAAAAACATCAGACAACAGTTCAAATAAAGAAACATGCAGTAAACAACTTCACCCGATCTCCTACTAGAATAAATGACAAAAAGAAAAGACTGTTTTTGTAACTTTAACAGAAGCAAGAAATGCTGAAAGCAAGACAGCTCAATATTTGCATGTAAATAGGAAAAATGAACTTCAATCCACAAAGAAAAAAGGCACTATTTGCTTCAGATAAGCTGACCATGTGACAGGAATGACCCTTTGGTAATTAAAATATATTTACAAATTTGGGTTAGTCAAAATAAATTTTAGTTTTCAATAAGTGATCCCCAGTTCATCCACAGCCCCAATCCTATAGAGTGACCCTGAAAAATGTTTTGAAACCTAAACCATTGGTTAAACCAAAAAAGGGACCTGGTCAAGGGTCCCTAGTTCCACACCGTCGGGTTCCACCAAAATTGAACCGTGCATCATAATTACCCTACAAATATATTAAAAATTACTTAAATAATAACATAAGTATAAAGATACATTCATTTTTTTTTTCTTTTATATTGATATATTGTTTTTTAAATAGTTAATTATACTTGTGCTTGAAAGAAAATAAAATGGATATAATAAATAATATATGTTAATCATGGTGATTTAGTGGTAAAGTGAACAAGTAATCATAAATGAGGTGTTGTGTTCGAGACCCATAACAGTGATTTTTGCAATGCCTGAACCAAGTACATTGGAAACTCTTAGGTTCGGTCGGTTTACTTAAACCGACACCAATTCATGCGGTTAGCCAGTTTAACTATAGGTTTTGCTGGTTGAATAAAAAGAAGCCAATTTTCAAATTAAAACGGGTTAGGGTTTATCCAGATCAGAACCTAGACCGATCAACAGGTCAACCGATCGACCTAGCCAGTTCAGTTTTAAAAGCATTTGCCTTGTAATATACCCTTCCTTATACTTGGTCTAGAATTATTATGACAACAGCCAACTCCAATATAACCTCAACTTGGACACACTGAAGAATCCGGATGATGGGTCCTTGGTTATGCTACAAATTGTACAATAATTGATTTGTCATCAGCTTATCATGTCAATTGCATAAAGAAGCAGAAGACAAGAAAAATGATTTAGGTAATTCAGTTCACAACAAGAGTTCCATATTGTGTAGTAAAATGATTCACACTCCCTTTTTTTTGTCTTTTAGCCTCTCACAGGGATAGTGTGAGGCAGAACAATAGTATATTAAAGATTATTTACCCTTAAAAATTGCTGAACAAAGCAAGGGACATTGCCCACACACAAGATAGATCTTTGTTTATCACAATAAGAACAAGTTTGGCATCTACTAAATAATACAAAAAGTCACTATCCTATTTAAGTCACATCAAACCCAACCCAAACCCAGCCCATATAAGCCAATAAGTCAAGAAGTACACTTTTTTAGAACATCCCAAACCAACCCTAAATTCAAGTTTAAAATCACAAACAAATTTCTTAATTTCTGGACAATTAACAAACCAGTGTGAACACTCAAACAATTTGAAATCTCATAACTCAAAAACCAACATACTGATAAAAGAAATGCCACCCAAAGCTTTACCACCAGTTACTTTGGATGTGTTTCCATTATCAAAATTTTGTGAACTGAAATTAAAATGTCTCCATCTAAAATTTCACAGCTAAATTTAGCTAAGTTCGGGCAGTTGTATTAACCTCATGCTCTTATTTTCTCTTGATGGTTTCTCATTTATTTAAAACTAAAAACAATGAGATGGCTGCCTTTGCAAAGAGAGCAAAAGTAAAGACCTTTCACCCCTAAATATCAAGCTCCTAACCAAATAAGCTTGAGCTCAACGCTTTAGCCCTGCCCATTCTCCTGCCTCTATTGCCGAGAATTCAAATTGATGATTTTGAGAAGTCTTAAAAGTAAAGGAATATATTCATATTAGTACAGGAATAGCATGTTGTTTGGACAGGACATTTTCCTTGAACCCATGGCTGTAGATTAAATTGAATATTCCCCATTGTGCTAATATCCAACCTAAACAGAAAACCTTATTCTGAAAGCACCCAAACCTAATACTCAATTAGTTCTTATTGTTCTTCCACAAAATTTTCATCATCTTATTTTACATTCAAACCTTATTCTCATTCTTCTTAGAGTTTTAAGGAAGCTCTACAGAATTTAAATTAACACATCATCAATTTGAAAAACTTGCTAGTTCAAAATCAAAACTCTAAGAAATAACAAGTACCCACTTGACAACTCTTGTGAATTTCAGCAAAAAAGAATTGACCGACTCGCTTGAGACACATCATCCGCAATGTTGAGGCCTTCAATGTCAGTTTGGGGCTTCACAGACACAATTAACTAATGAACATTAAAGAACAAAAAATCTTCAGTAGAATTTGAAATCAACAAGAAGGAAAAAATTAAACCTGGATTTGAGATAAGAGAGGTGTATATTGATCCAATCTTTTCATTTCTGAGGGGAAAAAAATGGAAAATATAAACAAAAAAAGAAATCAGAATCTTGAATTCATTTGAGAGGAAAGTGAAAAAAATAAAGAAAATGAAAACAGAGGCGCAGAGAATGAGAGGAGAGTGGGGTGTACCTCAAGGCTGAAGCAGGTGCAGAGCTCTGATCAGAGAAGATTGCCTGATATTTCTCATCGCAATCAGTCCGTTCGAGATCGCCATTCTGACGAGTCCGGCGGTAGTCCTTTGTAGGGTTAGGGTTTTGGAACCGACGACGAGAGTGGAGAAGACGAAGTAGACGACCGGTGAAGATCAGTGAAGATAGGAGAAGAGAAAGAGGGCAGCGAAGGAGGAGGAGGTGGTGGCAGCGGCAGTGGTGACGCCGGTGGCGCCACCAGAGGAGACGACCAAGGAGGCGGGAGAGATAAGAAAGAGAGAGAGAGAGAGAGAGAGAGAGGAAGTGAGGGGTTAGGGTTTAGACTCTGTAATATATATAAGCTTGGGGTGGTTTTGTATAAACATATACATTATACTTATTTATTTAAAATGTGTGATTAAAATAAGTATGATTAAAAATTTATTTTAATAAAAGTGAGATATTTTTAATTTTTTTAAGTGATTTTTAATCACATGTTAATTAGCTGTGCGATTGCAAAAAAAATAAATATATATATACAATCACATTTAATTGAAAAGTGACATAAAAAAATAAATATTATCACACTTAATCAAATCAAGTGTGATTAAAATATCAAGCTAATTTTTTTATTATACTTCCAATAAAAGTGAGATATTTTCATTAGGCAAAGTGTGATCCTTAACTGTTTTTATAGTAATGTTGCCATACAATAATTATGACAAGGGCAACAACCGGAGCCTTAGATTTTTCTTCTTTTCGCACAACTGTGGAAAAATTTACTGGCATGTGTTTTTAACTTCATGATCACATTTAATGAGCTTTAAACTAGTTTTTGTGGGTTTTATTTAGTTTTAAAACATGATCAAATCTATGTGCTAAAATTTACACTAGTTTTACATTGATACAGAGATTAATCATTTTATTAATGTATTTAATTTTCTATATTATATTGACTTTGTACCTATGATACTTCTCCCTTGTTATGGTAAGCAATTCATGAAGCATATTCTCTCATATAATTAGTTATAGAGTTACTAACATAATTCATCAATTCATGAAGTATATTCTTTCATATAATTAGTTAGAGTCACTAACGTAATTCATAACGCAATGTGCTATACTAATGGAAAATTACATAACATAATATCCAAGCTCTGTTCAACAAATCTAACCCAAAACCAATGTAAAGAACTAAGCTCATCTAACCTTAAATCTTATAGAAGTCGAGAATTGGAAATTGAAAACATGTAGATATAAATTTTTTGCACCGATTGTGTGTGGAATTTGCATGATTTTAGAAGCTAAAAAAAGGACGAGAAAAAATGGCTTTAAATACAGAATTTGTTGAAAACAGACACATAATGGCTGCAAAGGCATTGTAAAGGCATTGCAAAAGGCCGTTACATAATGGTGGTGGTCGGCGTTACTTGTGTGTTTTTTTGTCACACAGCTATAAGAAGTCGCTGTCAACATTATGCTAAGAAGTATTTGAACAATCTCAAAAACAAAAAACTTTAACAAGTAGCCATACAAATAAAAGATGGATTTTGTTAACAAGTGTCCTAAAGACACTTGTTAAGAATGCATTGTAGCGATCCCAATTTCGATCCTTCTTTCATGTTTTGCCACTTCGTGTGGGTCGGTTGAGGATCGAGCTGCTCGGTCAACTCGTGGGGGTCCAGGGGGCATATAGCGACCCCGGTCTTTTCCCATTTGATTATTGTATCCGGACTTGGGTTTCGTTTATTCTGTCATTGTACAATTGTTGTTGTCGTCCTTTATTTTCTCATTTGGAGTTATAGGATATGTTGGGTAGGTTTGTTTCAGGTTGGTTGGGTTCGTAAACCAAGTGTTGTTGTCTAGTTTTTGGGTTGGTCGCTCGAGCCAGGATTTGGTCGCTCGAGTGAGGTTTGTTTTTGTGTCTTCTGGCTCGATCCAGAATTGCTTCGCTCGAGCGAGCAACTGCGTCTGGTATAGACCTGAGGGCAGTGCTTATTCGCTCGAGCGAGATTTTCTTCGCTCGAGCGAGCGAGGTGTATGTTTTCGAGTTCCTTGCTCGAGCGAGCATTCTGTCGCTCGAGCGTGCTCCAGGGTTGCAGACCTGAAGCATTGCATTCTTGGCTCGAGCAAGTTTTTCGTGTGTCTGGTCGCTCGAGCGACCAAGTCTTCGCTCGAGCAA